CAAATCCACATTTGGCACCATTTTGGACACATTAGTACAAATTTCCAAAATATTCTACGTAGCCCTCCTACATCCCAACCTAACTCCAAATTTCAGGATTCAAGCTGTATTGGTTCACCCAAAGTTGAATTTGTACCAAATTTAGTACACATTATTACGAATTTCCAGAACTTCCTACAAAGCCAAACCCTACACCCCAACATTGATTCTAACATCAAATTTAAAGATTCCAGCCAAATACAAATTTGGTACCATTTAGTATACATTAGTACGAATTTCCAAAACTTTCTACATATCTCAATACTACATCCCAACAAAGATCTAACTCTAAATTTCAGGATCCCTGCTCTATCTGTTCACGCAAAATTCATATTGTGCCAAATTTAGTACAATTTAGTACACATAAATTTCTAAAACTACATCCATACCCTAATCTTACACTCCAACTGTAACCTTATTTCCAAATTTCAATGTTCTAACTGTATCGGTTCACCCAAAATTCAAATTGTACCAAATCTAGTACAACATAGTACCCATAAGTATGAATTTCCAAAACTACATCCATGCCCCAATAATACACTCTAACAGTAACCTTATTTCCGAATTTCAAGGTTTCCAGCTCAATTGGTTCACCTAAAAGTAAACCAATTGACACATTAGTACGAATTTCCAAAACTTTTCACAAACCCCAATCCTACACCCCAAAAGCTCAATCGGTTCACCCAAACACACATTTGGTGCCATTTAGTAAAAATTTCCAAAAATTCATTGCATCCGTTCACCCAAAATTTAAATTGTACAAAATTTAGATTCCAAAACTTCCTAAAGTGCTCAATTCTACCCCAACAATGATGCTAACTCCAAATTTAAAGATTCCAGCTCTATCGGTTCACCCAAATCCAAATTTGGTACCTATAGTACACATTAGTACGAATTTTCAAAATTCTCTACATATCATAATCCTACACCCCAACAGTGATCCTGACTCCAAAATTTCATTTTCCAGCTCTATCGGTTCACCCAAATCCAAATTGTACCAATTATAGTATTTTTCGTATACATAAGTAAACAATTTTCAAAACTAGGTACATATCCCAATCCTACACTCCGACGATAATTTTAATTAAGGATTCTAACTCGATTTGTACCTCCAAATTAAATTTGTACCGAATATAGTACCATATAGTACTTTTGCGTATACATAAGTACATGCTTCCAAAGGCAGCTCCTTACATGCACCCTACTTCTCAACCTTAATTTGCATTCCAAATTTCATGTTTTTAGCTCAATCCATTCACATGCTACGAAATTGTACCAAAATTAGTACATTTTAGTACTTTTCGGATACTTACAGTTCGAATTTCCAAAAAAACCCTTTGCTACATCTATTCTACATTCTATTAGTGACCCTCAATCCAAATGTCAGAGTTCTAGCTCCACCGGTTCGCCAAATTGAAATGATACCATATTTAGTACTTTTCGTACCGTTCTAGTACGAATTTCCAAAAACCCAGCCTTATCTGACAAATCTGGACCAAGAGTGACCCTCACCTAAAATTTCAAGATTCTATCTTCAGCCGTTTCGTGTGGGCGTTGATGACTCGTTAAGTCAGTCAATCACTTTACTCTTTTATTAGTATAGATTCTACTTAGAAATTTAAATAATATTCATTGGAAAATACATGAGAATGGGTCAATAATATAGGGATTATTTGAAAATTTTGTAGAAGTAGTAGAGATGTATGTGAATATAAAAAAACAAACCATGTATGAAAGTATCGGTCGGTGGGGCATATATATATATATATATATATACTAGCGGAACCTGTGGCGCTTCGCTGCCCCTACTAAAGTGATTGACATATTATTTAGTTTAAAAGCTACTATTTTGTGCTATTTGACCCTTCCGCTAAACTTACTGCAACATTGGGTTGAAAATGGTTAAATATGTATTGATAGGAAATATATAGGTATTATAGTAGCCCCAAATTCAAACATAACTGTTCGACTTTAGATATTTCGTAGTGTAATATCAGTAATAATATGGTAGCAGCAGGCTAATGTATTAGAATATTTGATTCGATCCAATAGATTAAAATATTGTGGTAATATTGAAAACAAAAGTTGTTCACATGTTGTTCATTAATCGTTCAAAAACTAAGACAATCCTTCATTTCCACCAACCATTATATCTGTACTCTCAGCTAGTTGAGTTTGGATTTTGTATCTTTAATTGTTTCATTGTCTAAAAAGGTTTTTAAAAGAATGCATTACCGAACCTAAATGGATTATTGGTCTTAGCTGCATATATCTTAGTATTTTTAAGAAACCTAGATCAAATTAGTTAGTCGTTTCATCTATACAGCCATATCCGTTTGGTCAACTAAACTAAATTTCTGGTAATGGACACATTTTGGTAGCCCACAAACTGACAAAATGTAAAAATTATAATGTCAATAATTTTTTTCATTTTACACAATTTTTATTCCAATATGTGATGATAATGGAGAGATGAAAAGCAGTGGACGTTAGTGTAATTACTGAATTGGTGGTTATTATCATTACTGATAATGACATAATGACCAAAAATTATGTCGAAAGTTCTTGATTTGGACCAATTTGTTTTCCTGTCGTTTAAGATTGGATCTGTAATCGGTATTACACACACTACATGAGCCGATTTACATACAAACATAGAAAACCAATAACAATTTTTTTTTTCATATTTTATATATATAGAAGATATGCTCTCATATGCTTGTCTATTTCTGTATACTTCCGACAATTACAAAATCGTAATTTTTGAGTTAATGATTAGACTTTAGGTTGTGTACAAAATTCAGATGATATTTTTATGTTACTTTTATCGGATAGCATATAGGTACTGCAAAAATCTCAGTAACATCTGTTTAGATTTTGCACACAACTTTTTTATCTATGTGTAATTATTTAAAACGGGGAGTGCATTTATCTCCAAACCGCGCTAAATGATGTGTATATAATATCAAGATTTTACGGTATGAAAATATATCCATATTATATATTTTGTATCAACTGATGTATATCATTGAAAATATGCCTATGTTAGATATATTCTAAACATTAATATCTGTGCAGCGGTTTTTGCGTCTATCGGTAACATACAAACAAACAAACAATTTTTTTTTTCTATTTTATATATATAGAAGATATGCTCTCATATGCTTGCTGCACTTCCGACAATTACAAAATCGTAATTTTTGAGTTAATGATTAGACTTTAGGTTGTGTACAAAATTCAGATGATATTTTTAGTGGGAAGATATAGTGCCCAGTCAGAGCCCACAATATCAAATTATAAAATCGTGCCCAAAAACTCCAAAATATCAAGTAATGAAAATAATTATATATTGATAAGTTATATGTTGAAAATATGGTAGATATACTAAACATGGCCCTTATGGCGGTTCATTTTCAACATCAAACTTTGTGAGAGGTGTGGCAGTGTATATGCAAAATTTCAAATGTATATCTTAAATATTGCGAGATATATGGTTATGGTCGACGACAGACGAACAGACATTGCTAAATCGACATAGGATTTTATTCTGAATATCCCATGGTGTTTAGACAAACTTAATATACACTCCGAATCCCTAATTTACCCATAAATTGTATATTAATCTACAAGAATTCCATTATATTTATAAACCAACATCTTATTTAAAGATAATATTTTATTTATTAAATTATAATTTAATCATATTATATCATAACTACCACTGAAATGTATGGAAAACGTAATAATTCTACAAAAAAATAAGATCAATAACCGTATTTAAAAATATATTGAAAATCCTAATACTAATCTAATACATTGTATTCAATTTATTTATTTTTTTATATTTTTGTGTACCCGGTCAATCCAAAAAAGATAGCTCGGTAACTCATTAACAAATTGGACTATCGTGAGGTTTTTTGTTTTAAATTAGTCTATACGGATCTGGTATAGATGTAGGAACTCAAAATTATATATACATTTAAATAATATATATTTAAATCCATGCTTACATGATAATCTATTTAAACAATCAAAGTAAATTCGTTATAGCTTTCGAATGGGTTAAGCTTTTTTAGTTATTTTTTTATTGGAATCTTATTTAGGTGTTCCCCAACGTCTCTGCAAATGTTTGTGGCCCTAGACAACATGGGGCAATCAGGGCGATTCGTGGAAGTCAGAAACTACCTTGGTTTTCCTTTGGTATACAGGGACTAAAGCAATTATTATTGCTAATTGTTCACATTTTATGACTTTTGAGATTGTGATTGGCGAATTTTTACCATTATTTAATACTTTAAAACGTTAATTAATGATAGTTTATATATGTACGCTAATTTAGGATTTGTAATAAATCAGACTAATTCGATTATAGAAAAAGTTTCAGCCCAATATGAAGAATAATTGGAAAATTAGGGACAATAATCGTTGTTTTTGTCCCTGTATACCAAAGGAAAACCAAGGTAGTTTCTGACTTCCACGAGTCGCTCTGATGGCCCTATGTTGTCTAGGGCCACAAAAATTTGCAGAGGGGTTGAGGAACACCTAAATAAGATCCCAATAAAAAAAAATAACTAAAAAAGCTTAACCCATTCGAAAGCTATAACGAATTTACTATGATTGTTTTAGATAGATTATCATTTAAGCATGGATTTAAATATATACTATTTTAATGTATATATAATTTTGAGTTCCTACATCTAGACCAGATCCGTATAGACTAAATTAAAACAAAAAACCTCACGATAGTCCAATTTTTTAATGAGTTACAGAGCTATCTTTGGATGGGTACAAATGTACCACGGTTATTGATCTAGGTAGGTAATAACTTTAAAAAATTGTAAAAATTATATATATGGAAAATATTTATAATTTTTTTCTTCGATTATGTGTGAAAATACCTCAAGAATGATTCCTCAAAATTTGATGCAAATATCTCCATTATTAAACATTTTACAGCATTTTTATTCAAAAAAATTACTGTTATGTGTCTGGGTCATGGCAGCTGTTGGCGTTACATTGGCGGGATTAACAAAATTACCGGCTACAGCCACATTGCTGGGCATTTGAACATGTGGCGGCGGTGGATCACTATCCAGCAGCCCATCAGCAGGCATTGGAGGTCCAATGTGATTTTCTGAAAAAAAAAGGAATTGGAAGGAAAGTTAGTATAAAAGTTTGTAAAGAAATGTAATTTATTCAAATACCAACAGTACGTGGAATTGTTGGTATTTGAATAATCATATTTATTCGGCCAAACTTAGTCATTTTTACCACAAAATCCGAAACACAACAAAAACTTTACTTACCATGATGCCCGAAATGTGACCCATGTCCATGATGATGATTATACCCATGTGGATTATAATGATGGTCAACAACACCACCGCCGGCACCCTGTTGTGGATGGCTGTGATGTGGCGGATGGTGTCCGTGTGGATGTTGTATATGATGATTATTGTAAAATTGTTGTTGCATTTGGTTGTGTTGAACACCAGGTGTCGCCGCTGGTGGCCCAGTACCCTCCATGTGTATACCCAAAGCCGTGGCGGTTGGTGAGTTAATGTGAGACATATGTAATTGCTGCTGATTGTGATGACTGAAATCACCCGATTGATGTTGTTGGAAGCCGAGCTGTTCATAGTAGCCGGTACCAGCACCATTTGCCGCGTGCACTTTTGGATCATAGTAATTTCCGGAACCATCAAAGTCGTTGGGAAGTTGATGTTGATTGTGGGGTCCATAGACAGCGCCACCACCGGCGGCGGCGGCCACATGGTGGGAATGTTGATTGTAACCATGGTTGGCTTGGAAATGCATGGCCTCACCACCACCAGCGTGGTGATTATAGAACGGTTGTTGTATATGCTGGGTATGTTGTGCTTGTGTGGGGAAAACATTATTCGCACCATGATGCAATTTTTCACCAACTCCATTGCCACCTTTCATGTGGTGTGGTGAACTCTGTGCCGAAGACAAGAAATCTGGTTTGGGACTTAGATATTCACCATTGGGTACATGAAGTTGCTGCTGCTGTTGGTGGTGTTGCTGTTGTTGCTGCTGCTGAAGACGATGAACCAAATGTTGGGGTGAACCACCAGCTGCTGCAGCGAATTCAATATCATATTTGCCGTAATAATCTTGTCCCGCTGGCCCAGTTGGTGGTGGTTGAGTTGGATGCTGTGTCTGCCCATGTAATTGTTGTTGGGGTGATTGTTGCATTTGTTGTTGTTGTTGCTGTTTACCATAATAACCTCCTGGATAAAATGCAGTCGTGTTACTATCCGCTGGCATACCACCGGGCATATTGGCATTACTATTAACCGAATTATTTGAATTTTGATAACGTCTTTTACTACCCACAATTGGTCCGGTACTACTATTGGCGGTGACCTGGCTATGCTGGGATGATGTATCGGAATCACGACGATATCCAGAACCAATGCCAGCACTGCCACTACCACTCATAGATATGGGTGTATCATAGCCCGAATATTGTGAGATCTTTTGGGTGGATGTAGAGACCACAGCGGATTCTTTTTTAATGTGTTGATCCTGATCTTTTTTCTTCACCTTTATGGGAGCCTCTTCCAGGTCATCATCTAAACTGCCGCTGGAGGCCACACTGGAATCGGCACTGACCATATTGGAGGCTGACACCGTAGTACTGCCCAATAAATTCGATGATATGCCCGATTCCAAGGTTGAGTTGGGTGTCACTAAGTATGGGAAATGGAAAATTTAATTGAAGTTACATTTTATAAAAAAAATCTTGACTTACAACTCCCAGCACTGGCATTATTGTTCGTAGCACTTGGTGTATTATTATTGTGGCCCCTTGAATTCGAAGTAGAATCTGGTATATCATCTGAGGGTAGTTCGCAACCTTGACATGATTTCTTCGAATTAGAATCTGCACGACGAAACGAAAAACCAACAGAGGATAAGAAAACGAATAAAAAATAATTAATTTGATTTATTCGACCAAAAAAGAAATTTAAAAAATTAATCAAACTACTAAATTATGACCCTGTTCAGGGGAAGTGTTTCACAGATTGGATTTTTTTTTCACAACAAAAAGGGGTATCATTGGATTTATACGATTTCCGTCAAGTCAAATCTAAAGCTGAATAAAAAAATAATGCCAAGACGAAACGACAACATCAAAGCTACACACTTTCCCATTGACTGACAATGATTGATAAGTTTTAGTGTAGTTGCTATCAGGGTTTCTTTCTGATTTGTTATTGCTTCGTTTGATGATGAGTAGCGTGTGATAGAATGTTCTAAAAAATCATATTGTAGATACAAATATAAAAAATATGGATTTTAAAATTTAAATTTTATTTTTATGGACCAAATTCGTGAATTCTAATAACAATAACAAAAATATGGATAGTTTGTTGAAGCACCAACAAGCCGTTTCTTTGAAAACAAAAATTTTCAAGGATCACAGGGCCTGGATTTAAAAATTATATATTTTTTCGATAACGAAAAAATTATACATCATTGTATATCACCAAAAAGTTTTTGCATTCATTAAACAATATTTTTCAAAATCCTGAATTTTTTGACCATATTTTGTCAACTACCAAAAAATATTTTTAGGGTGAAAAATGAGCGAACTTTTATTTTTAAAATCAAAGAGGCGAGATTATTTTAAAAAAAGTCTTCTATAAAAGTCTATTAGACTTGGCATTAAATAATATTTTTTCAAAGATTTGTATGGCTTGCATTTAAAAAAATGTATTTTTCCATAGACCTGTAAGACCTAGAAATATTTTTTCAAAGACCTATAAGGCGTGAATTTTTTTAAGAAATATTATTTTAACGACTTATAAGGCGTGGATTTTTTAAGAAATATGTTTTTAAAAACATGTAAGGCGTGGATTTTTTAAGAAAAATTTTTTTTAAAGTCATGTAAAGCGTGGATTTTATAAGAAATATTTTTTCAATGGCGTGGATTTTTTTTAAATATTTTTTCAAAGTCGTGGATTTTTTAAGAATTATTTTTTCAAAGGCGTGGATTTTTTAAGAATTATTTTTTCAAAGGCGTGGATTTTTTAAGAATTATTTTTTCAAAGGCGTGGATTTTTTAAGAATTATTTTTTCAAAGGCGTGGATTTTGTAAGAAATATTTTTTTAAAGGCGTGGATTTTTTAAGAATTATTTTTTCAAAGGCGTGGATTTTTTAAGAAATATTTGTTCAAAGGCGTGGATTTTGTAAGAAATATTTTTTAAAGGCGTGGATTTTGTAAGAAATATTTTTTTAAAGGTGTTGATTTTTTAAGAATTATTTTTTCAAAGGCGTGGATTTTATAAGAAATATTTTTTTTTCAAAGGCGTGGATTTTTTAAGAATTATTTTTTCAAAGGCGTGGATTTTTTAAGAAATATTTGTTCAAAGGCGTGGATTTTGTAAGAAATATTTTTTAAAGGCGTGGATTTTGTAAGAAATATTTGTTCAAAGGCGTGGATTTTGTAAGAAATATTTTTTTAAAGGCGTGGATTTTTTAAGAATTATTTTTTCAAAGGCGTGGATTTTTTAAGAATTATTTTTTCAAAGGCATGGATTTTTTAAGAATTTTTTTTTTTTTCAAAGGCGTGGATTTTTTAGGAATTATTTTTTCAAAGGCGTGGATTTTTTAAGAAATATTTGTTCAAAGGCGTGGATTTTGTAAGAAATATTTTTTAAAGGCGTGGATTTTGTAAGAAATATTTTTTTAAAGGCGTGGATTTTTTAAGAATTATTTTTTCAAAGGCGTGGATTTTATAAGAAATATTTTTTCAAAGGCATGGATTTTGTAAGAATTATTTTTTTAAGGCGTGGATTTTTTAAGAATTATTTTTTCAAAGGCGTGGATTTTTTAATTATTATTTTTTTAAAGGCGTGGATTTTTTAAGAACTATTTTTTCAAAGGCGTGGATTTTTTAAAAATTATTTTTTCAAAGGCGTAGATTTTTTAAGAATTATTTTTGGAGACTACCACAAGGCGTAGATTTTTTAAGAATTATTTTTGGAGACTACCACAAGGCGTAGATTTTTTAAGAATTATTTTTGGAGACTCCTATAAGGCGTGTATTTTTAAGAAATATTTTGTCAAAGTCCTATAAGGCGTGTATTTTTAAGAAATATTTTGTCAAAGTCCTATAAGGCGTGTATTTTTAAGAAATATTTTGTCAAAGTCCTATAAGGCGTGTATTTTTAAGAAATATTTTGTCAAAGTCCTATAAGGCGTGTATTTTTAAGAAATATTTTGTCAGAGTCCTATAAGGCGTGTATTTTTATATCCTACAAAACTATGTTGTCAGGGTATTATAGCTTTGTGCAGCCCCAAAAGTTTGTAACGCCGATCGTCATATCTCGACTAGCTGAGTCGATCTAGGTTTTTTTTCTAGGTCGATCGGTTTTTCTGGTCGCTCCAGAGGCCGCAATTATGGTCCTAACCCCGAGAATTTTTGCATGGAGAAGGGGATCGGGCCAGAGAATATGCATGCATGTTTTGATAAAGATCGGTCAATATCTACAGGGTCAAATGGACCCTAACTTTTGTGTGAAAAATGACAAAATTTGTATTCTATAGCGTATATATTTACCCCTGAAGAACAAAGACCCAAGAAGTTGATTGAATATCCAAGGGGAGTGGTTGACCTTTAAATTGATACCAATTATATTGTCGTATGTTCTCATATGTGGGGGTTACACTATAATATTTACAGGTGCTTACGTATTCAAATATTATTTAGTAACCCATTATCACCCTAGAGGGCGAAAATATAGCGTTGATCGCTTTGAAATTTTCCATGAGGACCCAGGTACGGTCAAGGACAGCGCCTATAATTTCCAGTGATGATCAGATAATAATATTGGGATAAAGTGGACCGAAAACTTAATTTTTTGAGTTTTTTTCGAGTTGATATATAGGCCACAATTGAACAATTTAATTTATGAAAGAAAAATGTGATCTTTAAGGTGGTCTGCGATATTTTCTGTGCAAAGAGAGGCATTTGTTTTTTCTTCGGAAGGAGACCTTAGATTTTTTCTATCGACGAAATAATGTCTCTGGAAAAACCGGTGATTTTTCTATGGAAGAAAAATGCCTCTATGATTGCCTTTGATTTTTTACATTATAGAATCTAAGTAGGCCTGCTATTTTTTATGGAAGAAAAATGGCTCTAATGAAGCCTTTAATTTGTCCATTGGAAAAAAATATTCTAAAGATGATATTGTTTTTTTCATTGTAAGGAAAATACTTCAGAGGAGGCCCTAAACATTTTCTATGGAAGAAAAAATTGCAATTAAGGGGACCCCCCCATTGTCGGGGTCAAAAATTTTGTTGATATAATTCGAATCTACACTAATTAATAAATGTCCCTACAAATCAAGTGAAAATCTCAAGAACTCTTGAAGATATAGCCGATTTATTGTGTCAGCATCAAGTGACGGCTGAAGGGCTTCTCAAACTTAAAACGCGTTTTTCTCTAAACATTTTTTTGATAACTCAAAAACTAATAACCCAATCGATTTCAAATTTTTCATGTTTCTCTGTGAGTGTATAGCTATCGTATGAACTAGGATAAAGCCAATCGGTGAAGATCTTCCTTATTTTATAACTTGGTTTTTTGTAAAAAATCGGCGATCTTCCACAAATATTTTTTCAAAGGTCCACCATTTTGTTAATTTTAAAGCGAAGTCAATAATCCTAGTTCATACGAGAGCCAAACATGTACTCTTTCTAAAACCGTTGGAATTTTCGGATTCCGATGTTCCAGTGAGGAGTTATCATGCCCGCCATCAAAAATAAGGACTTTTCTTTAATTACAAAAAACAACAACAAAACAATAACAATTTTTTTTTTAATTTATTTTCCTTCTATTTTAATTCTTCAATTATATATGTGCAAAGTTACAAACCTTAACAAGCATTGGTATTTATTTATTAGCCCATTGAAAATCTAGAAAAATTAAAATCGAGAAGGGGGGGGGGGGGGGGGGGTGTTTTCCCTTAAATTGTTCTATTGTAAAACAATGATCTAAGGATCTATTAGACGCTTTTCTATTGCTTAAGGGGGCGTGCGGGGAAGAAAAATTGCTCTAATGAAGTCCTTGATTTTTTCATTGGCAAAAATAATCTAAAGAGGATTTTTTTTTCTTTGTAAGAAAAATTTCTCTAAGGAGGTCTTAAACATTTTTTATGGAACTTATAAGGACGCCTGTAATATATTCTATATCTCCAAGGATATATTCGATGGCTCCATGGAAGTCTTGGACATTGCCTATGTAAGAAAACCTCCTCTAAGTATATCTAAGATTTTTTTTCTATAAAACAAAATGTATTTTTTCTATGAAAGAAAATTTCTATATAGGGCATACAAAATTCGTATAAATCCAACATGAATAAAAATCATTTTCATCTTAAACAGTAAACTTAAAAAAATCAAGACTGCACTTACTACTATCGGAGTGATCATCATCACCTTTTAGGCTATCTTTGTTATCCTCATCATCCGTTTTCGACAGCGTTTGGCGTTTGTGTTTCATGCGGCGATTTTGAAACCATACTTTTACCTGTGAAACAAAGCAAAAAAAAAAAAACATTAAAGTAGCAATTCAATATCATTAAAATTAGCAAACAATTAAACTCCAGACTAAGGAATGCAAAAAGTAGCATTACCCTTTGTTTCAAATAGCCACCGGGTGCGCTTAAAACACTACTTAATTACACACTGTGCCTCATGGACTTCTTGCTGCAAATAGCTAAAGTAATAAATATACTCACCTGTCGTTCGGTTAAATCTAAACTGGCAGCAATCTCAATACGCCGTGGACGACATAAATATTTATTGAAATGAAATTCCTTTTCCAATTCCAGCAGCTGGGTGTTCGTGTATGCGGTGCGTAGACGTCGTGGCAGGCCATTTTCTGGAACGAATTCAGCTGCAATTGAAAATTGCATTTTCTTTGATATACGATTAAATGAGATTTTGAAAAGTAACACCGAACCAATGAATGAAATAAATTACCACCGAGTATCGGCTGGTATTTTCAACTCCCCCTCGGCAATTTCTGCATAACTCAACGAAAAACATAGTTGCCATTTTATTTTGTTTAATTACTCTTAGCATGCAACATGCCACAACCTTCTTTTGGTTTGCAAAGCAGAAGAAGCAGTAGTGGAAAAATGGGGACACAGGTTGGCCTCAAGTTAGAAATTTGTTGGCTTGTCGAGTAAGTAAGAACAAATTATGGCTACAGTTGTTGTTGATATGCGGGTAGGTAGTTGGTAGGGAGGTAGAGCGAGTTTAGGTGGTTCTTGGTTGTTGGTGTTGTTAAGAAATATTGCATTCATTTTGTGGCAGTTTATTTTATTTAATTTTGTTCCTCTTTTAACGTAAATTTAAAGGCGTTCTTTGTTTATAATTTTACATTATTTTCTTAAACTAATTGAAATCTTGTGGAATTATTTAATATTTATAAGTTAAGGTTGTTCACATCGAATATGTCAAAAAAACGAAATTTCTTACATCTGCGTTTATGGCATTTTTCAGGGTAATCAATCACCACTGTCACTGTTCCATACATGATGGCATTACAAATTGAATTTGCAGAATAAGTAGGTTTTTCTTTCTATGAAATATATATTTACCACCCTAATGAAGCCTTTCTACATAGACTTGGTAAAGGATGAGTGTGTGTTTGAGAGAACAGTAAAATGTTAACATTTGGAGGAATTAGGAATTATTTTAGAAAATTATGATTCTCATTAACTACAAGAGCATTCTGAAATACCTTCAAATTTTTATTTAGAGTATAAATAAATAAAAAATTGTGTAAATTATATTAACCCTTTCAGTGTCAACAATTTTTTTGTCGGAATAAAAATCTAAAATTTTGTACTTATAAAGGCATAGAGTTTAGAAAAAAAAATAAATTTTCATTTTAACCGTCGGACAGTTTCGTCTGTTTTTAGCAAAAACAGAAACATTAATGTTAACGGTACATAGGATAACCGAAAAATCGTAAAGAAAGAGAGAATTTTTAAATGTCGAATATATTCGACAAAAACACTGAAAGAGTTAAAACCAGTAAGGAAAGTAGTAAAGTCGGATTAAATCTTCACCACTTTGGGTATATTCGACATATGTGTCCTAACAGACGTCGCCTTTTCGAAGGAACATTGACATGAAATTAAACAAACTTAAATCTAAATCTAACACGATTTTCTAGAAGCTTAACACATGAGATATAGTAGGGACAGATTTCCATCTCAATGGCACGAAAATCCCCACGAACATGCAGAACAACAACATCAAGTGTAAATACATATACAGAAACCCACAGTTCCCACGAGGGAACAAATATATAAAAGCGTTTGTTAGAAATACTTCAACGTACAAAACATTCAATTATAGTAACTTCAGTATATTGTACGAATTTACATTAAATCGGACGAAAATATATATGAGAACTAAATCTAAATCTGAACCGATTTTCACGAAACTTAGCACACATTATTCTGGACCTAATTCAGTACCCTGTCCCAAATTTCGAAAGATATGGAGCAACATTTCCCTTAAATCGGACGATTTTCTCGAAACTTCAGTACCCATGATAAATTTACTTTTTTGGCGAATATGGCTCGATATAATGACATTGGTGCCCCATTTACCTTAAATTGGACAAAGCTATATACGGAAGCTATATCTAATTCTGAGCCGATTTTCAATGGGGTTCGTCCTTGGGCCAAATAAGTGAGCTGCGTCCAATTTCATCCAAATCGGATCAAAAATGCGATCTGTGCTTTGTTCACAAAAAAAACATGGACGGACGAACGGACAGACGGACATGCATAAATCGGCTCAGAAAGTGATTCTATGCATATTCTCAAAAGGAACCATGGGTCTATCTCAGTTCCTTTTGCCTGTTACAAACATATACACAAAGACATAATGCCACAGAGTGGAGATGGGTATAAAAAGACAAGTAACAACTTCACGAAGTTCGACCCGACCGAATGACGAAAAAAGGCTCTTGATAAGTCTGTAATTTTTGTATGGAAGAAAAATATCTAGACCTGTGATTTTTTCCCTAGAAGAAAAGTAACATTGATTTGTTTTTCTACGGCAGAAAAATGGATCTAAGTAGCCCTGTGACTTTGATTCTATGGAAGAAAAATGGCTCTAATGAAGCCTTTGATTTTTTCTTTGGGAACAAATTATCTGTATAGGACTTTGGTTTTTTCTTTGTAAGGAAAATTACTCCAAGGAGGTCTTAAACATTTTCTATGGAAAATGCCTCTATGGAGGCTTTATAAGGCCCCAAAAATGTTGGCACTACAATGTCGAAATTGTCTATGATTTTTTCTATGGGAAAAGTCTCTAAGTAGTCCTGTGATTTTTTCTATAGAAGGAAAATTCCTTTGATTTTTTTTATGGAAATTGATATAAGTATGCCATTGATTATTTCTATGGAAAAAGTGGCTCTAATGAAGCCTTTGATTATTTCTTATCTGAAGAGGACTTTGGATTTTTCTTTGTAATGGAGACCTTAAAAATTTTCTATGAAAAATGCCTCTAATAAGTGCCCACAAGATGTGGGCACTACAATGAGGAAAATGTCTGTGATTTTTTCATATAGAAGAAAAATCCCTTTGATTTTTTTCTATGGAAGAAAAATGCCTCTACGGTGCCCTTGATTTTCAGCCACATCGGTGGGAAAATACGGTTAAATAATATTCAGAAAAAATGGTCGAGACCGTTATATGGTTGAAAAATATGCCTAAACCCCCCAATATACCGAAAACGAGGATGTAGCGTTATATGGAGACTACTCTAAAATGATAAAGATAAGTGATAAAAGATAAATGATAAGAACAGAAAATCAGTGAGAATCCGATTCAGTGGGGGTTACCCCGAAACATTGCCAACAGATAATTTTTGGTATGGTGATTTTCTGCTCAACCATAATACTTAAATAAGAACCCATTCTGTTCAAAACATGCCCAAAAGATTCAAAATACCGAATACTATAGGGTATCGATTTCAAAGGCAACGGAAAAAAGTGGACCGATATATCCCATATTCAATAGCAAATATCCTAGAAGTAGTAGCAATGTGTGTGTAACATTTCAGCTCTATCTTAAATATTGCGGGCTTTCTGAGGAAGGTTGTTGTCACTCAATCAAAAGAGGTTAGAAACTTTATTGTAAAAAAAAATCACATTCTTTGCTTAAATTCTCCATCGACCATTTGATACCCTCCTTATTAAACGATATAAAATTTCATGGACAAACTGTCGTATCGATTTAAACCAATTTTGCCTTAAAACTAATATTTTGAATATTAGATATTTGCAAATTCATAATTTGCTACATCTCATGAAGTGTACAACAATGTGAAGAGCTAGTCTCTTACACTTAAAGTCATATATCATCATCACCATCATCATCAATATCAAAAAGTTGCTCCATTGCACAAAATATTACCATTACATTTGAATAAAAACGGAAAATCTAAAACCTAGGCCATTGCAACAATTGAAACCTTAGGAACCAACATCCTAACACATCTCGGCAAAAATGATTACAAGTTGTTCTGTTCTCCTCGAGTCGATGAAATTGAATTGTCGTCATCGACAATGACTTTCCATTTTGGCTAACTTCTGTGTGCCCTGTGTGTGGTGGTTGTGCAAAAGGAATATGACACAGCATTTGTAAAGCAAAAATATGTACATTTCCAAGTTTAGATAAAGTTTTGTAAGTTCGGATTTTCCGGTATTTCTTCAATGATACAACGACACAAAAATGATGTTGTTACCCAGAGACAGAGTTTAGCTGAGGTGTTGAGAGCTAATGACGTTATTGCTTTGGCCATGTGGATGACGACGACAATGACATTACCATTGAAATGAAATGTATCTCCTGGTGATGATGATGAGTATCCATTGTTGGTATATTGTAATCGCCTTCATGATGATGACACAAAGAAACAAGCAAAACGACCAACAAAATGCATAACAGTAGAATTACGTATTAAAATATTGCAATGCAGTTTAGAAAGAAATGTATTAATTTGTATGGGGTTGAATTGAAAAGTGAAGTGTACAAATTCAAGGCATATTTTTAGAAAACTTCGAAAATCAATCGATTCGAATATGTGTATGTCATATTAAAACAACGGAGTTTTTTCTAATGTGCTTGTAGACCAATCTGACATCTATGTGCAGTCGTCTATACCTTTGAATCGTTTATTTATCGTTGGTTTAAGTCATATCTTCTAAACAATAACTCATTTGAAAATCGACTCCAAACAGATTTGGTCCAAAGGATCATGGTGTCTAAAATCAATCTTCTTATGTCAAATGTGACTTTCATAACCCTCCCTCGTACATTCAAACTATTCCATGATGCAACAATATCCATTGATTACAATTTCTAGCATATGCATTTCACAACCATTGACAGGCCACATCTGTGTTCTCGACTTCCTTATGAATTCCGTTTCCCAACAAATAAGAAGTGTAACCTAAATTGCAGTCAATGCAACACCACCAACACACACAAAGTTCATACCAAAACTGAAATGAATGCAGCAATTCCTTGTTTTGGGGCAAACAAACACTTCTTGTACAGGTACATAGATAAGGTAACCAATATGCTTTCAAATCGAATATTCAGAGATAGAGAGAGAAAGGAACCATTTTTGGCAAAACTTCATTTTCAGAAAATTCAATAGAATTTCCTTTTCAATGGAATTCCTGTTTCGAAAAGTACGATTTGTTAGTTCGAGTCATCCGTTGCTTGCGATGACATTATTATCTTAAAGCAGCAACAAACAAACAAACAAAAAAGTGTCAAACAACAACAAGAGCAGCAGCAGAAACTGTTCATCTTGTTTGCCAAAAAGGAAATCATATTTTCCAGCTGGAATATGGTATTG